TGTGTTATTACACACAACTGAATGTGTTTCACACCGTCAAATCACAGTGACTTATTTTGCTTTTAATATTAACTGCCACCAGTAATCACCACCTGTGCAGCCAATTAGGAATTTACAAGCAAAGCCCATATGGGTAATTTGAACAATGAAAAACGAGGAGAAGGGTAGAGGGAGCAGGAAGGGAATGGGTTTGCTTTCCTTTTTATTTTGAAACTATTGACCACCATTAGCTGTGCCTGCTTTATATTTTCTGATCAGTCTGTTCAGTGATGTACTGGCACACCTCTTGAACAGGTGGAACTTGATCTCGGGCCTGCTGACTCAGAGGTAGGGGCACTATATCACTGCACCACAAGGCCCCTTGGCTCTGCTTTATTTTTAAAATCAACCTGTTCAGATATGTTATGACACATCTCTGAAGTAGGTGGGACAGTAAATCTGGTCCTCGTAGTCCAGGAACATCTGAACAACAAGGATACCTACATCAGGCTCCTACTTATTGACTACAACTCCATTTTCAACACCATAATTCCAAACAAACTCATCTCCAAACTCCCCAAGACCTAAGTCTCTGCTTCTCCCTCTGTAACTGGGTTCTCAACTTCCTCACCAATAGACCCCAGTCAGTAAGGATAGGTGATAACAGCTCCTTCACAATAATCCTCAACACTGGTGCACCTCAAAGCTGTGTACTCAGCCCCCTGCTATACTCCTTATATACTCACGACTGTATGGCCAAATTCCACACTAACTCCAGTTTCACATTTGCTGACGACACCATCATTATAGATTGGATCTCAAACAACGACACAATGGAGTACAGGAAGGAAATAGAATGCTTAGTGGCATGGTGTAAAGACAACCATCTCTCCATCAACATCAGCAAAACGAAGTAGCTGGTCATTGACTTCAGGAAGTGGAGTGGACAGCACGTCCCAGTCTGTATCAGTGACGCTGAGGTAGAGATGTTCAAGAGCATCAAGTTCCTGGGAGTGACGATCACCACCAATCTGTCCTGGTCCACCCACATTGACACTACAGTCAAGAAAGCTCAGCAACACCTCTACTTCCTCAGGAGGCTAGGGAAATTCAGCATGTCCATAAATATTTTTACAAATTTTTGTAGATGCACCATAAAAAACATCCTATCTGAATGTATCACAGTGTGGTTTGGCAACTACTCTTCCCAAGAACGAAATAAACTACAGAGAGTCTTGAACAGAGCCTAGTCCATCACACACACAAACCAGCCTCCCATCCATTGACTTCATCTATACTTCCTGCTGTATCAGGAAAGCAACCAACATAATCAAAGAGCCTTCCCACCCCAGTTATATGGTCTTCCACCCAATGTTGTTGGGCAGAAGATATAAAAGTTTGAAAACATGTATAAATAGGTGCAAGAACAGTCTCTTCCCTGCTGTTATCAGACTTTTGAACAGACCTGTGTAATATTCATGTTGATCTCTGTCTGCACCTTCTAGGCAACTGTAACATTATATCCTGCACTCCGTTCTGTATTTGTTTAGTACAATTTGCCTGGAAAACACATAGGACTGTACTTTGGTACACATGGTAATAAATCAAATCAGAGGTAAGGACACTACCACTGCTCCACAGGAGCCCCTGGGTCTGCTTTCATTTTTAAAAAATCAATATGATATCACTCTGGAGCAGGTGGGGCTTGAACCTGTGCCTCCTGCTCCAGAGGCACAAATGCTACCACTGTGCCACGAAAGCCCTCTGAGTCTGCTTTTTTTTTGTTTTTTTCACCATTTTATATATCCAAAAGTACTATTACACACAACCAAACAACTTTCCCACCACCAAATCACCATGACTTTTTTTCAAGGGTGAGGATGACACCCTGAAGTTCCCAAGCCCCTTTCTTTGTGGAAGAGGCCAGTTCTGTAGTTTTCTTAATGTCCAGATCTGGTTCAGTCTGTTGCTTCCTTTAGGTTGCAATATTATTAATTCCACAAACTAGGTCATCTCATAACATTTTCCCAAACTACTGACCCGTACTCTTTGTTATGCTGATTTCTGTAGTCTCATTAAGAATTCAGGAAACTGGTTCCCCAGGAAGTCTCTTTGCAGTGTTACAGGTTTAACACAGCAATATAACAGGTAGTTTGGGTCATAGCAATCCACTACCACATCTATCAATTTGTCAAAGGATTTTGACTCCGGGGACTGTCAGGTAGGTTAAACCCTTTATGATGCTGATAGCCATGGCCCACAAGTGGTCAGGAGAATTACATTTTGTCCTTAATCTCCTTCTATCCCGTTTGCCTGAAAAATGCATCGCATTCTTTTAGTGTACTGAAGCCAAACCTCCATACCCGCATCATAAGGTTCCAGTTTCCCAAGCAGTGACACTTTCACGATTTCCCCTTCACGGTCTTACCAGGTTCGTTGAAAAGCAAGATGGTCTGAAACTTAACTCTTGTCGCCAATCTACTAACTCAGGAAGTCTGACAGGAATTGTTCATATATTGTTGAACACCAAAATAGAGCCATTACTTATGATGTATCCAGCTTGTCCCAGCCCGAGATAGACAGTTCTGCAGACCCATCCCTGAGCTAGTGATTGCCATGAACCTTAAAGGGTTTATTACAAAAAGCAAACTACTTTATCTGCAGATGCTAAGGATATTAATAGATTTCACAATGTTTAATGTACCATTTTAATTTGTAATTTAGTGTTGATCTTATAGAGACATAAAGAGTTCTTTTACAGGAGCCTTTAATATCAATACTCTAATCTGTGGTGGAAATACATTCTTGGCACAATTTTAAGTGTTTGGAACCGCAAGGCCGTACAAATTTCTTTTTGTGCTATTTTAATTAGAATCCAAACCTCAATGAATAATGAATTGGTCTGAAGGCCCGAAAACATTTGAAGGTGAAGTCACGGAATAGAGGTGAAGACAGGAATTCAACTGTGAAGAACGTTTGGAGAAATGTGGAATGCAGGAGCCAAGCAATTAACTCAGTATAATTTTGCAAATGTATGACAGTCCACTGCTATCTGTAGAGCCAAAAACACAGTCAATGAACCGAGAAAGGAGTTATAGATGGCTTGCTGTCAGTCTACGAACATCTAACAAAGACTGAACTATCTTGATCTGATTGTCATCCTGTGTAAAATCAAAGACGTAGAATTGCATTTACTCATCATGGACATAAAATGGAAATATATAATTACACATTTTAAACTACCAACTTTCCAAGCACATGCATTAAGAAGGAAATTCACCAGCTGTAACAGTTAGGTTGTAAACAGCTAGCACCGAAAACTTTCATATGAAGTTGGATCCAGCCAAAGCTGCGGTGCTGATGTGTATGGACAGCAAGTGCTTGGTGATCTATGTGGTTGGAAGAGAGGTGGGAGGACGTTCATTTGGAGCATAAGCAACAAGACAGACTAGTTTCACTGGCTTATTTCTACATTGTACATTCTATACAATACCCAGTAATAAGATTGAGTTCCTTTACTTTTGCCCATTTATTTCATTTGCCTTCTGAAGATCTGTGCTTTGCTATTAACAAGTACTACTGTGTTGTGCTGTTATGTTCAGTTTATCAATAATATGTATGGAACTAAATTACTGAGCCTAAATGGAAATTACTGTAGTTAGAAGGTCCTTGTATTCTTTGGCACTTTGGAAATTCAGAACTTTTAAATTGTTATATTTTTTATCACCTTAGAATCTTAATTGTTAAACAAGAGGTTCCATATTATGGTATTTCTGGTTTGTATTTTTGGCACACGAAGGATTCAAGTGTTGATGTCAAACATTGCTATCCCTTTATAAAGTCATCTAAACGAAGAACGGAATTTCCCAGACATTCCCATTTGATTAAAATCCCGTCCAAAATACATAATCTATCTGAGATAGTAAGAACTGCCGATGTTGGAGTCAGAGATAACACAGGCAGCATTAGAGGAGCAGGAAAGCTGACGTTTCGGGTCGGCACACTTATTCAGAAATTTTCTGAAGAAGGGTCCTGACCCGAAACGTCAGCTTTCCTGCTCCTGTGAAGCTGCCTGGCCTGCTGTGTTCCTCCAGCTCCACACTGTGTTACCACATAATCTATCTGGTGGTTTTAAAATATAATCGACATTTTAATCAGTTCTTAGCTGAATTGCAGCATCAGTTTGGTGTTAATGTACATTGATTTTTATAAAATTGGGTTAGGTTTAGAGTTATCTTGCTATTATTATTGATTTCATTATAGACATTGTCTCAGGATGCCAATACTGTACCACCAAGTCAGTCGACTTTATTCTCTTAATTGATTGGCCCTCATAGTGTCCTCTCAGGCTTAAATACATCAGATCTGCTGAAAGAAATTGGCTGTTTCTATTACTGTACTCTGTGGGCAGACCTTAATGACAATAAACTGAAAGCATTTTTTTGCCAGGGCACTTGGAGAATACTTGTTTGCTTTAAGAGGCCAACCAGTATCACTGTCGTGGATTATAGCTTCAAGTAAATAAGTAGTCATTCTTGTCACGCACAGAAACCTGGTTGGTGTTTTCTGTTCACCAGGGTCAAAATAGACAGGTAAATTGGTTAACTTCTGTGAACCATAATAAAACATTTAACTTCTATAATAATTTGGAGTAACGGGGCTTGATTTCCAGTGTGCTACCCTAGTGAGGTGGGACAATATTATGTTCCAAAAGCTCTGACTCACTGGTACCATTGCTGTGTGTTGTAGCAGATGCTGTGTATGAACTTTGCCTAATAAAACAAACTTCACAGCACCATATGTTTGTGTTCTTAGCACACACATCATAGTGCCTCCCACGTGGATGAATACTTAATTCAGAATTTTAATCTCAGGAAAAAGTCATCTGAGAATAAGTTCCAGTCTAGTTGAACCCTCTAATTGTTGGGGTGGAGGAAACCTTCAATGTATGTACAAAATTTTACTCTAGATTTTAACAGGGTAATTTTTGTTTCTCTCCCTAGGTAGGCTTTGACCAATGTGGTCATATAACACGTTGCATCTCCATTAACTACAGAAGAAGCTGCACCAGACAACAAGCACAAAATCAGGACAAGAAAAAATTTTAGAGGTATGGGACATATATTGTTACTGATACTGTTTAGTTTGTGGACCCATACTAATGTATTGCACTGCTCAGAAGCCACAAGGAAGTGATTGCTGAGTGAGTTAGAAGTAACTAGCTTTGTTCTGGAGAGTGAAATGCCTTCGTATTCATTATTAATTCCCTGATTGATTGATATCTATTTAAAATTCACGTTCCATATTATGTATGTTTGTTCCTTTATTTAAGGTTTCTGAATACAAGGTGAATAAATTACTTATTTTAAAAATGTCCGTGAATGTCACTAGTGTCTGTCACACACAAGAGCACAGTAAAAGCTACTCACATCAAAGCAGTATTTATCAATTGGTATTTGTAAAATCTACAGATTTGCTTCTTTGTGTCCAATCTTGGGGTTCAGATCATTTGGATGCTCAGTACAATTTGATTATTTCTTGTATAGGCAAATAATACTTGTGTATAATTCATCTTAATTTTTGGATTAGCTTTCCTACTGTTACAATTATGGTGTTCTTCTATAAAAGCAAAAGTACTGAAGATCTGTAATAAAATCAGAAAATGTTGAATAAACTCAGCAGGTCTGACCGCATTTGTTGAGAGAGAAACAGTTAATGTGTCAAGTCCAATGACTTTGAACTTGATGTTAACTAATTCTCTTTCTGTTTTTAAAATTATGTTATTAAACTGTCCTTACTAATGGCAGGTTTCTCTGCTCTATGGTGGCATAAGAACAGTTTTGTGCAATAGACCACAATGAAAGAATTTGTCATGTAGTGGAACCTTTATATATGTTTTGACAGTGGACAGGAAAAATATTTAATCAGTAAGAATTCTGGATAACATTCAAGCATTAAATATTTTTTGAATCCTACTTACACATATCCATGATCTATTACGCCCTTCCAACCCCTTTGAGGGTTGCTTAGGATGGCTTCAATATCAATTTGTTAGGCTGATGTTCCATATCTGAATGTTTCCCCATGTACTGGCTGATTCATTATAGACGTAATCTTGCTTTTGCATCTCAACTGCAGGAGCTTTTAGTGGCTTGGTAGAAGACTTGTCTGTACTTGTAAAGACAGATCTACCCTTTTTCGATTTGGATCAGGGTTTCTCACTGATTCCAAACATTTTCAGACCTATGTTTCTATGAAGCTCTACATTATTCCTTTCAGGCGCCACTTTATTGTGGGACTTGTACTTTGTTTGTCACTTTACAGTTCTTTTGTTATAATAGGTCTTTGCATTCCTTCATTCTAAGTGCAAGACCTAAACAAGCTGAAGGAAGATTCTTTTCCCCGCATTATCATCTGCTCACATGTGTCTACTAAGGTTAAGGAAGTGAATTCTTGGTAATGGTTCAACATCATTATGTTGTTCTTCCACATTTAAGCAGTGTAGATGAGTGAATGAAAAACACAATTTGGTCAGGAAATTATTGCTGCCACCAATCAACTGCAGTCAACTGCATGTGAGATGTCATTATGTACAATCCTTACGTATGCCCAGGGAAGTGGGCACGTTCTTGAAGTGGGCTTCAGTATTCCAGAGAGGGATGCTGAACACAGGAAAGGGGCTGGTGAGGAATTCCCAGAGTGAGAAGGGAAGAAGGGCTGGAGGTGTGTGTGTGTGTATTTATTGCAGGGGCAGGGGAAATGCGGAGAGCATGGGTGGGGGATTGCGAGATGAGAGCTTGAGGTGGGATGAATGTGGAGAAACAAGGAGAGCAGATGGAGGACGTTGGGGGAGTGGTGAGGTCTGAGGTCACAGCTCACCTTAGCCTCACTGTCTCCCCTTTTCCCCCTGCAGCCTCACTCTCCTCAATTATAGATACTCACTGCCCACCACAGCCCCTCTCTCTTTCCCTTCCCACCTGCAGCCCTTCTCTCACCAGCCTACCCTCTCAGCACTGTCTCTCTCTCTCTCCCTCTCTCCCTCAAGCCTCCACTCTTAGCCCCCCTCAATTTCTGTCTGTCCCTCAGATTTACTGTTTTGGTTAGGGGACGGAGCCCTTCCAATTCGCGAAAATTGGGACCTTCACATTTGAAAATACTACCTGCTAATGTCTGACCTAATGTTTCCAGTTCTGAGGCAGGAACTGAATGTGGGCTGTTGCAAGCATACATACACATGGCTTTATATATTTTGATACCATTGAGATCAGCTGTATTTGCAAATAATATTAATAATGATAATTTCTAAGAATGTAATTTATTGCAAAAATAAAAGCTGATGAAATAAAAGACCCCACTACTGTATTCTGAGTGACTCAGCTGCATGATGCAGACTCTGTCTATACCCCTGTGCAACTCACTGTAGTTGTGAACAGTGTTATTAAGTACGGTTACTAAATAGAGCTGCACAGGTTAACAATTGTAAAGTAAAATTTTAAACAAAAAGGCGATTGTGGTTAATGTGAATAGATAATGCTGAAGTAGTCAACATATTGGTTTAGGGATTAGGAGTACAGCTAGCGATTAAACATCATATTCCTGAGCTACTGAGACTGTGGAGTCGTCCCACCCAGAATCCATAGTGTTGAATACTTGATTAGAAAGGTGTTTTATTTTAGTAGTTGTCATCAAGATGACGTGGAAGGTGACAAGAACATTGCCATGTGATTTCTTTAAGCGATGAATTAGATTGAGAAGAATGCATGCCAGAAAAGGTTGATCTGTGAAAGGTTAGATGGAACGATATGCCTTTTCACAACTTGTACTTTGTTCTTCAGGATGCTGATGATTTGTATAATCTGGATGAAGAGCAAGTGAAGTAGCCCATTGTAGATTTTCTTCGACAATAATTATATGTGATGAGGCCTAAATATTCTGCAGAAGTATATTTAAACTGCCACTTGAGCATTGCTGCAAAGTAATGTGGATTTGGTTTTCTATATGATCCACTTTGGTACCACTCCAGCATGGTGTTGCATCTGGTTGATGATTTAATAATGTAGCTGGTAGCTTATTCAGCTCATTAGAAACTTAAAAAGAGTGAACAGTTGTTGGAGTTGTGGATAATCTGGTCTGTGTTCTTGATTTATCTTTGAACGTTTATGTTCCTGGCATTCAATGTTCTCTGTCTTAGATTTGGCCTTCCTAATTGCTCTAATAAATATGATACTGTGGCTACAAATTGACACTGAAGTTAGTAATCTGAGATCAATAACCTGCTTACAGCAGCTTTAAGTGAAACCTAATTCACAACATTAACCGTCAAAAGCATGAACTGAAATCAAATAGCAGCTAACCAGCTTTCTAATTAAATCCTTGATGTCCTTGACTATGGTGAAATACTCACAAGCAAACTTAATTTTATTGGAAAACTGACTAATAATGTAAAACAGCCTGTATTGGAATGTAGGAATTCTTTTGAGTAAGGCCATGTGTTCTTTCTCTAAAAGTATCAAATTCTTATAAGTTTAACAAAGTGAATTCAGTTGGGAAGAGAAAGGAAGAAAAGCTGAGAGTGTTTTCTATCCAATGTCACAGTTGCACAAAGACATCTGCAGGCACTTACCAACAGAGCTGCAGAAGATTTGGACTCAAAACGTGGCACAACTGACTCTTGTTGTGGAGATAGTAATTACTGTATGTGATCTTGTATTATGAACCTGGAATAATACCATATTGTACAAGTTGGTACGATGGAAGTCTGTAAAAGATAATTTAAGGTGTCCTGTCCTACAATTTGCTGTCATCCTTTTGAAAATTGTGAACTGAAAGGGCGAAGAACTGTTTTAAAACCAGTGTTTTAAAGTATTACTGCATGTTTTAATAAGCAAGTAACCTGACACTAACGGCAAGCATTCTGGTAAATAGCAGTTTTTGAAAAACAATAATTGAAGTGGTCACAAATGAATTGGAGCTGAGGGGTTCTTTATACAGATGCAACTGGGCAGTGACAACAAGTTGATTGATCTCTGGACTAGTAACCAGTTATTGAGCTTTTTGCCTGCCACGAACTGTAAGATTGGTTTTCTAGTATCTGAACAGCTTGGGGCCTGGAACAAGATGGGGGGAGATATTTGGATCTCCACAGCACAGAATCTATCTCTCTGTTCTCTGAAGTCAAAACTCATTTTAAAAACAAGATAGTTGCTCCCGAGTTCGCCTCATGACATTGCTCAAGGAAGCTATTCCTAATACACTCTATGAAATTGTTGTTGTAGCTCCCCTTTCCAATTTGATTAACCCAATTAACATAAAGTTTAAAGTCACCATAATTATTGGTCTATTCTTTTTACATACTCATTTTTTTTTGTTGACTTCTAGCCCTGCCCATAGAGTGGCTACTGTTTGGGGACCTGTGCACTACTCTTACTACTTTCCTTTGTTGTTTTTTTTGACCTGTGCCCAAATGGATTCTACATCATCTGAGCCTAGATCATCTCTCACAACTGTCCTAATTTCATCTGTTATGAATAGTGCTACCCCCACCACCTTTTCCATCCCTGCTATCTTTACGAAAGATCAAATATCCCTGGATGTTAAATTCACAGTTTTGATCTTGTAACCTGTTTCCATAATGGCTATGCGGTTGTATTCATTTATCTGAATTTGCATCATTAGTTTGTCTACCTTACTCCGAATGCTTCGTGCATTAAGATATAAAGCCTTTAAGTTTGTTTTATTGTTGAATTTCCCTACATGTTTATGGTTCCTTGGTACAAAATGATATTCACACATTCTGTCCCTTTATTATCAGAAAA